TTTTTCATTTCTAGATAAACTTAAGGTGATCTTTGAACTGTCACCCTCCATTCAGCTCTCCTAATCTCCAGAAAGCAAAAAAGAAAAGAAAAGAAAAGAAAATGTTGGTAAATATTGAAGTACAATATATGTGGAGGAATAAGATTGAACATTCAATGGAATTGAAGGTGATGAGCGTTCTGGTACAGCAATCTGACGTCTTCTACATTGCAGAAGGTTAAATCAGGACCTGAAAACATATTTTAGCTCCTGCTTTATCCTAACACATTCTTCCAGTGCTTTTTAATGATTGCCAATTCCAACCTTCTCATTCTCTTATTTAAAAACTGATTATGGGCAGCAGGTCAAGTGTCTGTCAGGGTTCCGATGGATGCCCTAATTAAATCATGAGCCTCAAGCCAAGCTTCAAAAGAAATCCAGTTATTTATTAGGAGCTTCATGTCGGCAGGTTCCCAAGTGAAGCCAGCTCTGACCCCACGTAATTTACAGCCCCAATCATGACCATGTTTCCCCTCTCCCCCCAGGGTGTGTCATCGATCACATTCGCCAACAGGGCAATTTCAAGGGTTGTAGAGAACACTGCCCTCCGCCAGCTATAAGTAACCCTGGGATACAGCCTTGAGAGAGATAAGTCTGGAATGTGCAACTGTCTTTGGCTGCCCTGCTGTTTCATCATTTTCCCATCCCCTTTTCCTATGGCAACTGGAGAGCAGGCCAGGGATGCTTTGTGAGTTGACAGTGTCAGTTTTCAGCAACCAAATAAGACTTATATTCTCCAACAGCATCTGTTCACAACTTGGTTCTTCAGGCCTTCTAACAGCGCAACCCATTGCTGTTGTAACTGAATGCATCCAACTTGCTCCTGAGTTTCCTTCCTTCCACCTTTCCTAGCATTAGCGCTTTCTCGAGAGAGCTGGATGTTTATATAATCTATCCAAAATATGACAATCCAAATGGGTCGATGAACATTCAGCTGTAGGAAGACATATAAATGACCCCACAAAAAAGGGACCAGGCTTTGAACTATCACATCAACCATGGACAATCCTCAATAGGATTTGCATCAAGCATGGTGTCTGTCGGGACTCTTGCTATAAATGGGGCATAGTATCTTCCCTTCGGTGTGACTCCATGTCAAACTGTAAATCACTTCATGACCAGCTGCAAGATGAGGGCTTATAATCCAGTATCCGATTATTATTATTTAAATAAACAAAGAGGTGCTTCAATGGTTAGATGGCCTAGACCATGATGGCGAACCTTTTCGACACTGAGTGCCCAAACTGGAATGTGCATGCATGTGCTGGTGCCGGAAACCTAAAGACCAGCTAGACGGTGCACGCATGCCAGTTTTTGGGCTGGTTTTTTGGCCATTTTCAGGCCAAAAGAACGGACTGAAAACAGTCCGGAATATGGCCTGAAAAACAGCCTGTTTCTTGGCTGTTTTGGGGGCCATTTTCAGGTGCTCCGGGGCCTGCAAAGAACAGCTGTCTGGCGTGCATGTGCAACGGAAACCAGAAGAGCAGCTGGTGATGGCGTGCCTGCCCACAGAGAAGGCTCTGCATGCCACCTCTGGCATGCATGCCAAAGGTTCACCATCATGGGCCTACTCATTGATACTGGAACATAGATCTTTTTAACATTTATATTTTGTTGGGTTCTACTAACTTAGTAGAAATGTTCATTTCTATTGGTAGTCCATGCATGATATGTCACACTTGTATGAAGAAGTATCCATCTGGTTCAGTTCCAAGCTGGGGAAAAAAAACTGGAAACATGGAGGCTGGTTGGAAAGATGGTTCAATGATGGGTTCTGACGCAGCTGACCACATGGAGTTAAGAGAGTGGTGGGGTTTGTCCCTTCTCTTGGGCTTTGCACTTGAGCTTCCTGTTCCTGTGCAAGAACTTGTATTCTATTGGCTGTTATGGGGGTTATGTAGAGGTCATAGCTGACTCTATAGGCAAAGTAGAAATGTTAGGTGTTTGTCTGATCAAAGTTTGGTTGAAGTTTCTGAGGGTGATGCAGTGAAGGGGTGTTGGGCAATTCCTATTGTGGCTGAGGGCTAATCCTACCTTTCTTCAGAGCCTGCTGCAGGGAATTTCAAAATATCCTGTCTTGAATGAATCTCTGCCTGCAGTATTTGTTTTGTCTATGAATAGAACTACCAAATACTTGGCTTCTTTCAATAAGCTCCGTATCTCTTAAGTGCTGACATCTGCTGAGGGCTATTAAGAAATATAATATTCTGCCTTTTTAAATATTTCCTAAAATATTTCATTCTAACTTTCTACACACTTTAAATAAATGGTATGATAATTTGGGCTTCATCTTTTGTGCTTTGATTATTTAATCACCTACCAACCTAACACTTGAAGCTTTTTTTGTTTTGTATATTATTTTGTTTGTTTTGTCAAGCATGTATAAGATAATAGATATAAGTATATACAAGATTATGAATACAGGAAAGAAATGGGGTTGTCAGGACAGGTACGGTAGGCACGATGGTGCGATTATGCACACCCCTTATAAACCACTTAGGAATGGGATGAGGTCAACAGTAGACAGTCTAAAATTAAAGTTGTGGGGGTTTGGGGAAGAAACCAGTGTCAGATAACGCATTCCAGGCATTGACCACTCTGTTGCTGAAGTTGCATTTTCTGCAATTGAGTTTGGTACGGTTTACCTTACGTTTGTATCTATTGTGTGTTCGTGTATTGTTGTGGTTGAAGCTGAAGTAGTCATTGACAGGTAGGACATTGTAGTAGATAATTTTATCAACTATGCTTAGGTCAGACCAAAGGCAGTGTAGTTCTAAGTTGTCTAAGCCCAAAACTTCAAGCCTGGTGTATAAGGTATTCTGTTGCGAGCAGAGGAGTGGAGGACTCTTCTTGTGAAATATCTCTGGACTCATTCGATTGTATTAATGTCCGATGTGCAGTGTGGGTTCCAGACAGATGAGCTGTATTCGAGAATTGGTCTAGCAAAGATTTTGTATGCTTTCTGAATGAAAACAACAACAACAACAACAAACAACTCATTCATGTTTTCAACATAATTTAATAAGAAGCTTCTGGTTTAAAAGGTAACCACAGCAAAGACATAAAAGAGCTGGTGGCAGTTGTTATGAAACTTGCTCTTACTCAAACCAGTCCCCAGAAGTTACACTTGTAGACTTAACTGAGTTGGAAATGTTATTGCTCAATTTGATGTATGGAATAGAGAGTTGTTTTCTTTGTGGGACCTTCTAATTTTAGCAGCAAGGAAGAAACACAAGGAGCACAAGGGGGGATGGGTGTGCGTGAATAGGGGACTCCAATTGAGGTTCTTGTCCTTAAAAAACAAAACAGATCCAGCCAAGTAATTTTGGTCTATGTTTCATATAATTTGGAAGAGCAATGGTATAATAAATTAAGGGGGGGAAAGAAAGAGATGGGTATGTCTTTAAGAGTACTCCGATAAGGCTATATGGATGGGTGGATAATTGTTGCAAAAATGTACCTTAGGCCTCAAGCTGTCCAACCTGGATTGCTCAAGTTGGCTCAGATCACTTTTCTATTCTAACATACTAAGAATGACAAATGGTAAGCACGGATTAAGTCTTCCTCAATCAGGTACCCTCCAAGTGGGTTGGTCCCAGAATTCTCATACATCATTGGATTGAAACCAGCAATTTTTGGAACGACAATTGGAGGAGGACACCAGGTCTTGTAAGGGGGGGGGGGGATTTGCTGTACTTGCCTAGTCAGATGCAAAATGCTGCTAAAGTTTTCAATAACTTCTTTTGCTTAAGTGACGACATTCCTAAACGTTGGCGACTCTTTATTCAAACAATTGTTCATTATTACAGTACTGATGGCATTGCTGCTTGCCTGTTGTTTCTGCTCTCTAGTCCCATGGCGCCCCCCCACCCCACAAGAGTTTTGAAGCTGACTCCTAATCATGTTCATTTCATTAACCTTAAAACACACAGAGGATGGTATCCCTGCTGAACCTCTGGGGGGCTAGGAAAGAAAGAAGGTGGGACATGAAATTAAGCCAGAGTTATCCCCAATACTGGAACACTAAGGAAAAGAACAGTTTTTGATGCAATGTGGAGATATTGCAGCTGAACCAGCAAAACATCAACTTGGTTCTTAAGATACCTGAGGTCATGAGACTGGATAAGTCCAGAGATGGTTCTGAATTATCACAAATACCTTGTGTGGAATGCCATACATTAATTGGCACGATGCTGAGCAAGCTTATGGAAGCCTCTATCTTAGGTTTTCAACAGAGTTCCATTGGGTGCCAACACGAAAAGCACTGAAGTTATAAAAGTGCTGGTGGTTGGAACGTGGTGAGCCCTCCCTTTTTCAGCACCAATTTTGAGCTCTATATTAAAAAATTTGGTCAATGACAATGGAAGGTAAAGGGTGGGCAAATCTTTATATTAACAGACGTGCCTTGCTTGTATCTTCCATTGGAAGAAAATGGACCATAGATTCAGACACGCTGAATGTCCCTCAGCAGCCACCTATTTGCTTGATTGTATTTGTTTTCTATCTTTGAGACAAGTTCTTATAGGTCTCTCCAGCATCTTAATTTTATTATTTTCCGTATTCTCCTTTGAGTGGAGAACTTATTATTTTTTTAAAGTATACATAGAGAGTAGAGAGTACTTGAAGCTGGGTAGCGATATGTAGAGATAAACAATTATTGTTAAAACTACTTGCATATTTCTTTAGCTGACCTTGGCTGATTATAAAAATCAGTATGGATTTTGTATGTAGATGGAAGCTAGGAAAGACCAAGACTGTAGAAGACATGAGCAAGTAACATCAAGAAATCTAGGTGGATGAGTCCATGAAGTAACTAGAAGTTGAGTTCAATTTGAGATGTTTTTGGATGACTCAATTTTGAGTCAGTCTCCTGGGTGACTGCCTTGGTAAGTCCCTGCAGTTTTCTTGGCAAGATTTCACAAGGGGTTTGCCATTGCTTCCTTACAAGGGCTGAGACTGTGTGACTGGCCCAAGGTGACCCAGCTGGCTTTGTACTAAGGCAGGACTAGAACTCATGGTCTCCTGGTTTCTAGCCCAAGAGCCAATACATTGAACTCTCTCTCTTTTATAGATTAAGTCATGGCATTTTCTAGTCATAATAATTGACTATAAATTAATCATTTGATCTGTAGAAGTTGGATTAATGTTAAGCTTACAAAACCCTAACTAAATAACGCAATGAAAGAATCCTAATTAGCCCCTTTGTGAGCTCAGCCAAAAATGGACCTAGTGCAACTTTGATGCTCAGAATGCATGCAGAGTGGGTTTGAATGTCCATCTCGGAAATAATGTGTCAAATGTTGGGGTCTGATCTTATGGCTCCGTATATTAGCCCCCTTTTTAAAGGGGGAAGAAGCAAGATCCTCTGATGTAGATCTCTGACATAGATGATCAGCAACTCCTCCCACCGTGTTTTACTACAGAAAAGCCGCCAAACAGTATGAAGTTGAAAGGTGCCCAGCAAGACTCTCTTCAGAAAGTTTGGAAGCACCAATGACGTTGAATATGAATGACAGAGCATGCTTAACCCGAAAGGTTCATCTGGTTGTACATATAGCCAGCAATGCTATCACCGTCATCTCTCTAGGTCAGATAGTGAGATAGAGTTGAATGTGGATGACAAACATGAGCTTATTTCTGATGGAATGCATCATTAAGAAAGGTATCAGTTATTTCTCCCATCCAGCTGCACATTGCCTATCCAGAAAGCCTGTTTCCGAGAAGTCAGTGACTTCTGATGACTTTGGGAACATAGCTTGTAACTCATAACTTCACGTATCCACAATGATAGCAAGACGTCCTGAGCTCCTGGCTTCCAGTAATTTTGGGTAGCCTCTCTGACAGATGAGTTTGCATGGTTGTGTGTTTATGGCCAGCTTGTTCTCACGGACCAATGCGTTGTGACTACAGTAGCGTCGACTCGCATATACGGTCAAAAATCTGAAGTTATGGAATGGTTGAAAGGGGTGGGGAGGAAATGGAAATGGAGAGTTTGATGTTAATTTTCCACTTCTCGAAAACCTGGCCTCCGCAGAATTATCAGCTATTCCTTGGACTAGCCAATTAAACTCTCCGGGTATCTATGGGAGCTAATAAGAAAAAGAGAACTGAAATAAAAATAAAATGAGGTAGGTTAAAAATAGCAAAACAGATCCAATTACGTCATATCCAGAAACCAGGGGGAGAATCCAGGCTTGGAGACAGTGGAAGCAACTAATTTGAAAATACAAATAATTTGAACAAAGCATATAAAGACAGAGATAAATTCAGACTAAAAACATACATCCTTCTGCACATTTGTTGGTCATTATACAGATGGGTACATGGGGGAGAAGGGCAGAAAGATGGAACCTAAATGCCAGGTTACTGATCAATGAAACCCTCCTTTAATCTGCTCTCCTTCTCCTGCACGTCTTCGTACTGAGATATTAATATTTTATTAAGATTTTCCATATTGAGAATAGGACACCATTGGATTAAAAAATACTGATCTGTATTTGGGGCTTCCGTCTTGGAAGTATCGGAATGATGTCGTCTCTTTGTAATTTTTAGTGGAAGAAATAAAACACACCAGTATCTACAAGGAATCATGCCCCTTATCCCCCGAAGTATAGCACAACTGTACAGAATAGGTACAATTTGGATTCAAACACATCCGAGTTAAGATGCCTTATGTGTCAAGCTGCTAGGGGGGCATTCTTTAGCCAATCTTTGGAATCTTACAACATTTCAAATAGCTTCCCATTTAGAGACACCTTCGTGTTACAGCTTGGAGAAAGGCAACCAGTGGGAATGACTAACAAGAATGGCACTGCTGTTTTTTGTTTTTTTTTAATCAATGAGCACCATTATGCAAAGATCTATAAAGAAGAACATTGATCAGCCAGAATATATTCGGCATATGACCTCGCTGGCTGAGAATCTGGGGAGGTGGCATTTCGATCCCATCTGGAGATGGCCAGGCTGGGGAAGAAGAATGAACCGAAAGACGGACAAAAAGTTAACTCTATCACGATCGTATTATATTCTCCAAAGCTAGGTTGTCTAGCCATTTAGATTTCCCACAGGAATGGGACAAAAATCTCACGTATACTCTTATCTGAAATATCCTGACCTGTTTGCAAAAAATAAAATAAAATAAAACAAAAACAACCACAACAAAATAATAATCCCCACACAAATGTCCATAAAAGCAAAAAAGGAGTTTACAAAACGTGGCCACTCTATGGTTAGGGCCTCTCACACAAAGATTAAAAAGGGTACATTTATTGTGCTCTCTTGCATCAGTTTTAAGTGATAACTTTTATAACAGCAGTTCTCAGCCTAACCTCCACAGATGTGTTTGATTACAACTCCCATCATTCCAAACCAACATACCCATTTGGCTTGCTAGCCATGATCATGGGAGCTCTAGTCCACCACACCTAAAAGACACCAGGTCAGGGGAGTCTGCCTTACATCATACTATATAATCGGTGCTAATAGGCAGACGTTATTAAAAACAGATCTTCTGTTTTCACTTTAAGACCTGTCTCTATTCATACAAACTCAGGATCAAGGAAAAAAATAATAATTATTATTTTTAAAAACCCTAGAGCTGATTCTATCACAGCTTAGTTTGAACACCTCAGAGAGATTTATTCGGCTCAACCTCTTCAGCGTTGGTCCTTTCCTGCTCAGTGTTGCGCTCTTGGAATCTTGAAGAAATTTGCATTCTGAAATCACTATGGGAAAAGTGTGTCATGTTCTCAGAATCTGGCTGCACGAGCAGACTGTGATCACCGAAGAAAGCTACAGGATCCCAATATCTTCTTCTTCACTTGCTTTGACAGTGTAACTCTGCAAATTCAGATGTCCTTCAAAATTTAATACATCTTGGCATCAAAATAAGCACCAAGTTGCTCCTTCATTACCAGTTCATCATGGAATTTCTGTTCAGGGTCATGAAAAATACTTGGCTACTTCCCCCTGATCTTACCGATGCAAAAAATACCTGTTTGGAAAGAAAGCATTCTGATCAAATATAAATGGGGAAAAAACAAGATCTCTTCCTCCCTCCCACACATATACTGGACTAGCTGGATACCTGTGCTTTGCGACAAAACTATGTGATTGGACAATGCAAGAGAAATCCAGTTTTCCCCGGTTCAATCCATTGGCTCAGTGGTGGTTGGTGATTGAAACAAATAAGGGAATATCGCTCCCGCCACCTTGAGTCCAGAAGCAGTTCCATAGGTGGAAGGTGTAGACATTTTGGTGAGGTACCGACGTTTAGTACTGTAAGGAGCCCCAGACTGCTCCTGAGTGAAGGAGTGAAATGTCTGCTATTTGGAACTGAGGTAACGGAATGTGAGGCAACTGGCAGTTGGAACAGAGTTCTTTTCAGATGGGGAGGGGAAGTAGAACTCCTTAGGATCAGAGCATGTTAATTACTGTATAAGAAATACTAATGATCTGATGGTCATTTCGACAAATCCTTTCTTAGTGAGCGCCTAG